GCACCAGAAAGTTGGGATGCCTGCATTATTGCTTCTTAGCTACTTATACTGCTCTGCTAAGCCCTGCCAGGCTGGCGTTGGCCCTGGGTTTCCTGGTCTGCTCCATTTTCCCCACAGGAATCAGTTTAAGCACCTAAACTGTCTGTCCAAAACCTAGTTGCCTAAAGCTAGGACGTCATGGGCAGCAATTTAGCTCCATGTTCACATTGAGGCTAAGAACTACCTCTAGCTAGGTATTTGCTCCACATGGCCTCTGAGATGTCCTGAATTGCTGTTGATGCTGCAGGAATTAAAAACCCTGCACTGTTTCTCTGAGTTCACCGTGGGGTCCTGAGGAGCCTGCAGCTTGGGAACCCTGGGAGTAGCGAACAGCGTGGAAACATGTGATGTGCACAGCTTGATCCTGGGGCATGGACCTAGCTGCTTCCTATGCTCCATGCAGATGCCTCCACCGCCATATCTAGTTTTGTGTTTAGGGATTTCAAATCTGCAGGCCACATATTCAAATTCACACAATAAGGGCTAATAAACCAGATACCTGGAGGTAAGTCCATTGAGATTAGCTGACACCCTATGTAGATCTCACAGCATCAAGACACCTCCATGCCAGGAACCCTCAGAACACCTGAGGGGCTAAGCAGAACAGCAGTATAGGGGACTGACTCAATTCGGGCCATGGCAGCCTTTTCCTGCTTCACCTCTTTCCAGGTACCTGAAGCCCTCTAGTGCACAGAGGGGTCTGCCGCATGGTCCTAAAGGAAAATCCATATTGACACACTGCCACTAGAGAACACCCTGAACTCACCAGGTGCCCAAGGGTGCAACAGGTCTCCAGGGGATCCTGGGGCAAAGAACAAGTTCCCCATGGCTCATCTAGTATGGAGACCACAGCGGAACCTCCAAGTCCATTCTCTGGCTCTGCCACTTGAGGAATGAGGCACACCCCTGCCCAGCAGTGAAGTCAACCATTCCCGCAGTTTTTTCAAACCAGCTGCTCCCTGCTATAACTACAGGGCCAGAGGCACAGTCAGGATCTCACAGCTCTTTACACACTCTAGAAGAACACCCAAGTGTGCTGTCCCACTGCCCCACGTCTGTACTCAGAAGGCCGAAGGGCTCCCTGGAAGTAGGCCAGCCTTCTCTACACTGGTCCTGCAACCCCTGCATCTGCCCTGTGAACTCAACTCAAGTCAATGATTGTGTTGTCTCTCTGCGATGCACACAGAACCCGGCTGCGTTGTAAATCACAGCTTCCTAAAATCCCAAGTCAGACATAGCTGCAGTGCTCACAGCATGTAGTTTGGTGATATTGGGGTGTCTGTCCCCACGTGACTTCTGCACAGGGCACAGCTGCCCCCTCGGAGTACATTCACTAAGGAAGAGTTTCACTCACACAGTGCCGGCGGCAGGGACTGTAAGAGCAAGTGTGGGAAGGTGACCCTTTGGGGACTAATTAAAATAAATCCTAAATAAGCCATCTGAGAATGTTATCATAAATGTTCTCCTCAAGTCTATTTGAATCACATCCTCATAACAGTTTCACTTTAAAAATGTATGTTATTGACATTAATATCAAACTTGTAATGTGTGGATTGGTTTTAAGTTCATTCATTTTTATTTATAGTATGTCTTGATGAAGCTGAATAATCTGTGACTTTAGATGGCATTCCATTGTTTAGAATGGTGACTGCATATGATCTATTTACATTAGAATAATAATGTGTCATCTTATTTTTTATGCTATATATAATTTCCCTTAGCAAGTAGATCATGCCATTTATCTAAATTTCATAGTATTTTAAAATCAACACTACATTTGCACCCCCCTTTTTCCCCCCAGCCTGGAACACTGAAATAAGTGATTTATTATTTTAATTGAGCATTTTAAATTTTAAAATGAAAAAACAAAAACAAAACCAAAACCAAAACTTCCCATCCTCTCTTGTTTCAAATCTACTTACCTGCCAATCACTTACTGAGCTCTTCCACGGGTGGTGGCTACACTTATCAATACAGTGAAGGCCACCCCACTGCCACACTGAGCCCTGCTGAGACAAGCCCGTTAATCTGCACATGGCACTTTCATGTACACAGCTCTCCCTGTGAGACACTCTCACAGGGCATACCCATTTCACAGATGTAGTTCTGATACATGTGGAAAGAGCAATGTGGTCATTTTGTATGCACCAATAAATGGTGCCTTTGCCATCTGGCTAGCAGGAATGTCTTGGTGTATACCAGAGAGGTATCGATCCAGTTCATGCACATACAAACCCACTTGGTTAAAGGAAAGCATTGGGAAAGACTGTTCTGGCCCAGCAGGCCTTTTACTCACTGATTTCTGAAGAATGTGTGTGTGCCTCCCTCCCCTGGTCTGCAGAGACAACTCTTCAGGAGATCCCAGATATGTTTGGGAGTGGGGTGAGGTGGGCTGAGCCAACCAGCCAGAAGTGAGGAACAGAACCAGGCTCCATGGCTGCCTTCTAGGCACAAGATCCAAATAATGCAGCACAAAAAACTCCCTTCACCTAACGTTGCTTTTTTTTCCCCCCTAAAAATCACCAATTGAAGAACTAAATGAGCCCTTTATAAAAAAAAAAACAAATTGCGGCCAGGTGGTGGTGGCACACACCTTTTATCCCAGCACTCGGGAGGCAGAGGCAGGCAGATCTTTGTGAGTTCGAGGCCAGCCTGGTCTACAGAGCGAGATCCAGGAAAGGCGCAAAGCTACACAGAGAAACCCTGTTTCAACACACACACACACACACACACACACACACACACACACACACACACACACACACACACACAAAATGCTACTCTGATCTTAATCATCTCAACATAGCCCTGGTAGTTGCCTACTGTACACACACACACACACACACACACACACACACACACACACACACACACACACTGTCATCTGCAAACACAGGCTTTCCAAGTGTCCTCCAGGGTCACCATCAGCATCTCCCTGACTGTGCCTGAGACAGGCCAGATTCTTGTGGCACCTCTGGTCAGCCCATCTGGGTCCTGGTCAGAGCATGGAGAGGCTGAGAGACCACTACCCTTGCAAAACTCCAAGTCTGAGTCCGGTACTGAAAGCCCAGTCCAAAGTCACCCTAACCAAGCCAGCTCTCCTCAGGGTCACATCACCACTGCCACCAATCACAGTCCAATAGTGTGCAAGCCACACAGGGAGGACCGGGCAGCTTCGGGAATCAAGTGACTTCATGCTCTATGGAAGGCTTTCTTGGACTCCCTCAGGCCAGGCCAGATGCTCATGGCATGTCACAAGAGTGCATCATCATTCCTACCTGTGTGTTATGGGTCTCACCCAGGAGACCGTGAGCCCTGTCCTGTTGATCTTGGAATCATGGGCACCTGGGAACAGGCAAGAATGACATCTGCTGAACAGATAGGGAGTGTGACAGCCCTGAGAAGTCCCTTTGCACTGGGTGGGTCATTGCACCCGGCCTCTGCCACACCTGCCTCCTAAAGTCCCAGTTCCTGACTTTGATTTCAAGGGCTTGCTTCTACTTTACCTGGCCATCCCTGGAGGCCTCCTGTTTGCTGGGTTCTGAAAGCCCGTTTGGTACTCCTACCTAGGTGTTTGGTGACTCTGGTTTCACATCTGCACCGCAGACCCGCAGTTGAGGAAACTGTTAAGTGTGGAGAGCAGACATCTCGGCCAACCTTCTCTCTTCAGTTCAGTGTAGAAACAAAGGACTGGCGTCCAGCTCCCCCCAGCAGAGGTTCGAGCCCCTCCATTTACTGAACTGTGTTTGTGGGTCCAGCTTTTTAAAGCCTGACTGGTACAGTCCTCTTCCTGGTTAAAGACGCTCACCTGGATGGCCCCTATCCTGCCACTTAGAAACAAGACACTGGTCTCCACTTTATTTTTCTAGACGATCCTGATGCTGTTTCTAACTGCTGGATAGGTGGCTTTTTTTTTTTTTTAATCTATACGGTATTTTTGCCCGTGGACTCCCTGACTCGTGTGGAATTGGGGTCAAGTCTCGCACTGAGCATGTCTCTCTCCACTCAGTGTGCCACCGCTGCCTCCGTAACATCTCTTGTTAGCATTTCCGGGGTGCTGGGAGAGAAAACAACGTCTGGGTGATGGTTCCTGTCAGTCTCCTCATTGTCAGGCCCAATCTTACGTTTCTCCACACTCACAATATTTCCCCACTGGGAACACGCCTGACATTGCAATTTCTCACAACTGCAGCTCTGCAGTGAATGCCTAATTCCCGAAACTGCAAAATCTAACAAAAGCTGATTTTTCCACTGATTTGACTGGCTGACTATTCCGAGGCACTGCGTGTGGTGACCCGCTGTTCTCCACAAACAGCGTCTTTAATGTACCCACACGGCTGTTCTGAAGTGGCTGAGGGCAATTAAATCCTCACGAGCTGCCCGCAGGGCATTCAGGAAGACTGGATGGCCAGCGTCTCTGTCACAGACAAATTTCCCCTAGAGGTCATTTAGCAGCTGGTCCTGCAGCATTCTGGTCTTCGATTTTGAACTTTGAACTCGGAACATACTTTCCACCTCGGTGCGTGTGAAAGTCCACACCGTGCCCCCTGTGCAAGGATGTGTGAGCTCACCAAGAGTTGTATCATTTAAACACACACACACACAACAACAACAACAACAACAAAACAAGAAACACCTAAAACTGACTCTGTCCTTTCCCTGCTGGTGGTGTTTGCTTATGTGGAAGTGAAATTTTAGAAGATCTGGCAATTTTGTCCTTTTTATTTTTACTGCCCAAACACATGCTCTTTGTCTATGGATACACCACTTCCTTGAGCTCTTCCGTATTTTCCACACTTGTCACACATTACCAGCGGCTCAGTGTGAGTCCGCGGGGGGCTCTAAGGAAGACTGAGCCTTCCTTCTTTATCATCCAGCTTCCCTCCAGCCCACCGCTCCGCGACCCAGGCCTCCACCAGTCTGAACACACAGTGGATTTTGCCCATTGGTATTTCACTCACCCTGTGTAGAGAACCAGGTCTGGCGACAAAGCGGCAGTAATAACGTATTCTTTTCAACACCACCTCACCCACAGCTCCCAACGAGATGATGTGAAGAGCGGGCAGAGTCTAAAATAAAGCAGGGGTTCGTGAAAGGACCGCTAAGTTCAGCTTTCAAGGACTGGGTCTTATTTTTTTATTCACTTTTTTTAAAATTGCTGCTTAAGGATGCTGAGTGGTGTTTATAAAACCTCTGCCTCTTGGGCAGAGGTCTGCGAAGCTTTCTCCTGAGACTCGAATCCCAAGGAGCAGCATGCTGGCGGACCCAAGACTTGGCCAGAGCAGACACTTCCCTGAGATCGAAACCTTTGAAGGCAGATTGCCGCTGTCCAGGCCCAGACCGAGGCCCAGGCGATCCCGCCTGTGCCCGTTTGGTCCGGGCCGAACTAGGCCACTCTGCCTCATCCTTGTCTCTGCTTTCCAGGAGACCCTGTCTCCCCTCCCCCTCTCTGCGCCCACTTGTTGCGGTCTCGCCTGGGACCTGTTTGGTTCATCCACTGATTGTGAAAGGGTTTGGCTTGAGGCTGACCCCAGGCCAGGACTTCCTCCGCTGTGATCCTGTAGTCTTTGACACAAACCCTCCTTTCTTAATTCCCCAGCGGCCTCAGGGCAAGCATGGACATGAGTAGGGTGGGCGCCAGGCCCTGACTTGCCACCCGGGCAAGGATAGAGGAACTCTAAGAGAGGATGGATATCGCTCTGAACCTGTGCCTCCAACGGGGCGGCTATGCTGGAGAGCATGCGTGGGGAGAGGAGAGGGGCCTCGGAGGCGGGAAGCGGACCGAGCATCAAGACAAAGAGAGGGCCCGACAGCGCACCGAGGGAAAGCCCAGCGCGAGCAGAAGCTGCAGACCGAGGGCGAGGGGAAGGGAGGGGATGGGAAGAAGTGATGGACCAGAGAGAGGGTGCAGAGAGGGGCGTGAGAGAAGAGCGAGGTGCGGGGCTCAGTGGAGAGCAGAACCACACAAGCATGACTTGGGACGCCGAAGGCAGAGCGCAGAAGTCCGGGCACGAGCGCCACGGGAGGCCGGCTCGCTCCCCGAGGGGTCCTGGCCCCAACACCCGGCCACATCCGTGGCCGCACTGCCCCGTTGGTTGGTTCTGAGGCGGAGGATGAAGCGAGATCCTGCCGGGCGCAGCTGGAGAGGAAGAGCCTCGAGGGGGTGGGGGGGAGTGGGGGGAGGGAGGAGGGCAAGAGGAGAGGGAGGGGTGAGGCGCCCCTAGCCGGAGAGGCTGCCTGGCTGCCACCAGTCCATCCGCCACCCTGCACAGAAGGACTCCGGCGCTCTCTCTCGGGGACCCGCGCAGCATCCCTCCTCCCCATCCGCCGGGGCCTCTCAGTCCCGCCAAGTAGTCCGGGTGCCAAGGCCAAGTCTGTTTTTCTCCTGAACTTTCCCAGGACTCTAACCTAGGCTTGGATTCCACCGCTGGGCTCCCGGACACCCGCTGCGGAAGCTGGGTGGGGGAGAGGGCGTGACCAGAAGAGCGCAGGGGCCCGGAGCCAGCGGTGCTCGACCCCGGCTGGACAGAGCTTGCTGTCCTGCGTCCCCAGAGCACGAGTGCTAGGGAGGGCTTCTCGAATTGACTGGAATTTTCCGGAGACAGAGCTCGGCAGTGCCCAGTCTTTGTCGGGGAAAATGAAATGCGTGAATATGAGTGTTATTCTTCTCCCACACGCATGATTTTAATAGACCTATCAGTCACATCCCGACACATCTGCAGATCAGGCGCGCTGCGCCCGCAACTCCTTAAAAAAAAAAAAATTATTCGTTTCATCTGCCTACTAGTGGGCTTGAGGGAGGGTGTCAAAGTCTCAGTGGCAACAATAAAAAGGGGCCAGTGAGGTTTTTTTTTTTAAGTGAGGAAGAAAAAAAGGGGAAGAGGAGAGAGGGAAGGAGGGAAAGGAGAGGGGGCGGGGAGGGGTGGGTGGGGGGCGAGAGCGTCAAGCAAATCATCCTGCTTAGTTCACCGGTGAGTTTAGAAGCCACCCAGGTGCCCTACACAAAGTTATGCAAACTTTATCCAGGCTTGACAAAGATTCCGACCCACTCTCCACAGAGATTTTAAACAAAATTGCACTAATGGAATGGAACACCGCCCGTGCATTGGAAGTGAATTATCATGTAATAATGACCACAAAGAATCTCACTTGAACACAAACGCGCGTTGCGTGGTTAGGAACCGCATTTATCCTTGAGTTGTGTGCTCCAAGGAAGGCCTAGGTGAAAATCCTCTCCACTTATTTAAACTGGAGAGAGCCTGCCCGGATCTGGCCCCCATCTTGAGAGGAGTCCCCCTTAATCCTCCTGCTTTATTTTCAAATTAAGTCATTAGAGAATTTCTCCTGGTCTTTCACACTAGTGGAACCCAAAGGAAGGTGGTGTGGAGGCCCGGCACAAAGCATCCCAGTTCACTGGGTGGAGTTCAAGCAGGGAACACACACACACACACACACACACACACACACACACACACACACACACACAAAATGAGGGGGCTGAGCTGTCTGGTGTTCGCTAGATGACTAACTTTATGTGTGTCGCTTCACTTACAATGGGCCATAACTCCTATGGCGATGAGCCCTGGGCTAGCTGCCCACAGCCAAAGAACCCCAGAAACCCAGGCTTGACAGAGGTGAGTGTGGCTACCCCTGCCCCCCACTACAGAAAGAAGATGGTGGTGTTGGGGACCAGTCAGCAAAGGCCCTTGTCTATTAAGGGGAAGGTGGGCTGGACCCCGAAAGTATCCTAGGATTTCCCCAAGGAGGTTACTGGGCTCTTCTTCCCAGACTGCCTGAGTGCCTCAGCTCCCTTCTTGGACTCCTAAGCAAGCAAGGCCGTTCTGGAAACAACAGAGCAAAAACCCTAAAGGAAAAAATGAACAGAGGAAAAACAAAAGCAGGAGGTGTCCTTTTAATACCTTATCAGAAAGTAGTGGGCAGCATTCTTGGATCTCTTGCAATCACTTTGAGGAATGAGGGGTTTAAGCAAAATCATCAAAATGACTTTTTTTTTTTAAATCACGCATGTCGCTTTGTAAGATTAGCATTTATACGGAAAGATATTCTCCAATGTAGGCTGAGCTAAGGTCTTATGGAACTGATAGAGTAAGTCCACTCTCGAATGGCTAGTTCATACTCATTCAAAAAAAAAAAAAAAAAAAGAAAGAAAGAAAAAAAAAAGGAAAAGGAAGTGGGGGAAATGAGGGGAAAGGATGCTGAAATTAGTATTATTTCTCATCCGGACTTAAGGGAAATTTCCTTCAAAAATAGAATTTCATTCTAATGTCATGATTAATTTCAAAACATATTTACTGCAGTATAGCTTTTAAATGCAATATTTAATGCTGTCAGATTACTTGAAGACGAAGTTTTACAGAAAACTTTAAATTCCAGAAAAAAAAACCTGCAATGTACCAATAAACACCTAGAAAAAATATAATTAAAAATATTTAAAGCATCAAACAACCTCAAGATCTGGTCAGGAATAATAAACACCGTATTCTGTGTTTACTTTCCCTAGCAACCTGCATCCCGTTTCACACAGGAGAGGGGGTGGTCGGTTCTTTCTCTCTCTCTGTGAGTGTGTGTGTGTGTGTATGTGTGTAAGAAAATCCTTGAAATTATGTTGCATTTTCCCAGAGAGGAAGGGGGAGGTGTTTGGGTAGGATTTGGGTGAGGGACACTGTGGTGGTGCGTTCTGGGTCAGGATTGCTTCCTTGAACCACAGGAAGGTAATTTCACTTACAATCCCAATTACAGAGCTATCAAAGGCACGCTGTCTTGGTGGTGGTCGTGGTCCCCCATACCTGGCCTCTTCCCACCAGTCCCACCATTGAGTACTGTCCTTTCTCCTCCCAACCAGGACCAAGCTGCCTCAAAAACTACTACAGTAGGTGAAGGGCAGAGCCACAGCAAAAAAAAAAAATCAAAAACTGCCAGGGCCGCGGCAGTTAAAACGTGAAACCATTAGGAAGTGTTTTGTAGTTTCCCCCTTCTGCGTTAACGTCAACTCTACAGAATAATCCCCGGAGTTTAGCTTTCTCTTTTCCCACGGAATAAAGCCACTGAAGCGCTGCCCTCTGCTCTCTTACCCTTGGGCCCTACTGGTAATTTTCCTTCAACAGATGCTAATTGTATTTTGAAGTCATAAATCATGCATATAAAATTAGCACGTTTCAATTTCATAGGGAAACGGGCTTTTCTCTCTTAAACGTATTAATTCAAATTTTGATGCATTTTGGTGGGGGGGAATCTCTTTTTGTTTTTCTTTTTTTTTTAGATGAAAGATTTGCAGGCTATGTACATAATCTGACTCCTCTCCCCCCCCCCCACCGTACTGCAACGCCTAAAATAAAAATGTCACAACGCATTTACAAGAAATAATACAAAACAAAACAAAAAAAATGGAAATGCTCGGATACAGTTTTACAAAACCCAGAATATATCTCCACCGTCTGAGAGGGGACCGCGGTATAAATGAACCAACCAACCCAAAAGAGCGGTAACAACTACAAAAAACTTGTAAATGTTTGGATCTGCCTTACTACATTTGTAACAAGTGAGAACAGCTTGAGGTCCGTCACTCGGCCTCAGGCAGAAGAGCCGGCGGGAAGTAAACCCCGGGGAAAGTTACAGAGCCAGCAGTCATAGAAAAGTTGGCATCGCCTCGCTGGGTTTTGTCCTTTGTCCTCCCGTGCTGAGAAAACGCTGTGTGCCTCCTCTGCGGACGATAAATACTGTACAAAAGGTCTCATGAAAACACCAAAGTTCAGTCTATGACGCCAGTCTGGTGTCAGCGCCTCGGAGTCCCGGGAAAAGGTGAGAGGGGGCAGGTGTCACCTAGTGCTCCGATCTCCAGAGCGGTCTTTTGACAAAAACGTGGAGACGTCTGTACAAAGTCGAGCTCTGGAGGCTCCGGCGCAGGCCTCACGCTCTTGGTCGCCGGGTCGGCGGCCCGGAGCCGCACTGTCCCCGGCGTCCCCGCAGCGCTAGATATGCGTCAGGGGCACCGTGCCGTTGACGCCCGCGCCCGCGCCCTGGTAGTGCTGTGGCAGCGAGTGCAGCCGGCTCTGGGCCGCGGCAGCCGCTGCCGCCGCCGGGTCGCCACCCTCGCCGGCGGGCAGGTACATGCTGATCATCTCGCGCAGGTCCCCGGGGCAAGGCGCCCGCGAGTGCGCGGGGGCCGGCGGACTGCCGCTGGGCTCTGACTTGACCAGCGAGCCGAGGGCGCCTAGGGCACCCGACGATGCGGCCGCCGCAGCCGCCGCAGCCGCCACAGCCGAGTTCTGGTGCGCGCCGCCCGCCGCGGCGGCGGCGGCTGCTGCGGCGCCGTAGGGGATGCCGCCGTAGCCCGAAGGCGACGCGCTCATGTAGCCCTGAGAGTTGGAGATGGGGCTGTACTGCAGGGCGCCCATGTCGTAGCGGTGCATGGGCTGCGGGTTGTGAGGATGCGCGTGCGGATGGTGCGGGTGCGGGTGCGCCGGGTGCGCGTGCGGGTGCGCGCCGCCCGCGCCTGGGTGCTGCCCGTAGGCTAGCTGTGCCTCCTGCATCATGGCCGCAGCCGCAGCCGCCGCGGCTACCGAGCCGGGGTAGGCGCCGTTTGCCCAGCCGTTGACATGCGCGTAGCCGCCTCCCGCCGCGCCGCCCGGGCTCTCCAGGCGCTGGCCCACGGCCGCCGCCCCGACGCCCACGCCCACGCCCATGGCCACGGCCGCGCCGCCGCCACCTGCACCGGCCGCCAGCAGTCCGCCGGCCAGCGAGTACTTGTCCTTCTTGAGCAACGTCTTGGTCTTACGGCGCGGCCGGTACTTGTAATCCGGGTGCTCCTTCATGTGCAGCGCGCGCAGTCGCTTGGCCTCGTCGATGAACGGCCGCTTCTCGGCCTCGGACATGACCTTCCACTCGGCCCCCAAGCGCTTGCTGATCTCCGAGTTGTGCATCTTGGGGTTCTCCTGGGCCATCTTGCGCCTCTGTCCGCGGGACCACACCATGAAGGCGTTCATGGGCCGCTTGACCCGATCCTGGTTGGCCTTGGTGCCCCCGCCGCCGCCGCCGCCCCCGCCCCCACCACCACCCCCGCCCGCCCCGGCCGGGCCCGAGAGGTTCGTGGGCGCCTGGGCGCCGCCGGGCGAGTGCAGGTCGGTTTCCATCATCATGCTGTACATCTGGGCGGCTAGCGGGTTCACCGGCACCGCAAAGAGAGGGCCTGGAGCATAGACGGCCGGGTGGGGGTGGGTGGGTGGAGAGAGGATCAGCCCAGAGAGGCTGTGGGGGGGGGGGTGCCTAGCAGAGAGAAGGGGGTTGGGTGGAGGCAACAACAAAAAAAGAGGCAAAAGCACACGCACTTAGCGCGGGTCCAGCTCGCAGGTGGAAAGTTTCTCCGGGTGCACAAACCACTTGCCAAAGGGGCCGTTGGTCAGGACGATCGCCGCCGCCGCCGCTGCCGCAGTCCGGGCGCTCTCGGCTGAGCTGTGCAAACAGGTGCAGTCGTGGCCAAGTTGAGGCTCCACTTTCTGGGTCTGAAGCGGTGCCACTGGGCCCGACACCGGGTTCGCTGCCTCCTCTTGGCGGCTCGAAGTCTCTTTCCTGTGCTGGCTTCCTTGGCGGCTTCCAACTCCGGGGCCGCAACTTCTAGCAGGGCGGCGCGCCGCGTGCGCTGGGCATGTGCTGGTCCCAGGTGCCTGGGGGGAGCCAGGCGCTGAGGGGGACTCGGAGGGGGGTTCGGAGGGGGCGATCGCGGTGCAGCTAGGGAGGGGGTTAGGGACAGCGGTGGGAGTGCCAATGCGTGCAGAGAGCCAGAGAGCCGGGCCGCTGCGCCTAGGACAAGCTGTCCGCTGCCTGCCTAGGGCCGTGCGCTCGGAGCGGAGGCGCACGCGGGGCCGGTGGCGCGGGGGGCCCAGCAGCCATACGCCGGGCCCGGGCTGCCATTAAATCAGCGCGCCGCGGCCAATGGGAGCCGCCGGCGGCGGTGATTTGCATGGCGCGCTGGCGAGTGACGTGTGGAGGGAGTAGATACACTGGGCGCGGGCGGCGGTGCAAGGAGGTGGAGGAGGAGAAGGGGGGGAGCAAGGGCAGGAAGGAGGGGGAAAAGGGGGCGCGGGGGGGCGGGGTCACAGCCACACTGCTTCCTGAGCGCGCGCGCGCGGCGGCGATGGCGGCGAACCCGGAGCTCGCCCCCTTCTCCTCTCCCCGCCCGCGCGCTCCGAATGATTAACGATTGGGTTGAAAACCAAGAGGAAGAAAGAATCGCTGTCGGGGGAGGCGGGGGGAATACAGCCCTGGGTCGTGTTTAAATGCGCTCATTGGAGACCCAGCTCCTCCCCTGTCCCTAGCCAGCCAACTCTGCGCCCGCAGGGAAGGGGAAAGTTGGAGATAGAGGCCGCACTTTGCACTCAGCCAGAGTGCAGAATAACAGCGGTGCGGGGGAGATCTTCCCAGGGGGAGCTTAAGCCGAAAGCACCACTGCTGGTTTTCAGGCCAAGCAGTCTCTCCCACCCCCGGCGCTCAGTGCATTCTCCAGAGCCTACTCTAGCGAAGGCCTTTCCAGATCCGAAGTCTATAATAATTCGGGTCTCCGTGGATGGAGGTGCGGCCGCTTTTGTGTGGTGCAGGGCTCATAGCTCCCTTATCTACCCTGAACTTTCTTTGCGCGGGGGGTGGGGTGGGGTGGGGGGAGATGGGGGTGTGTCTTTTAGTGGTTGGGGTGTTATAGTCAGGTACTCTTCCCAATTTACTTTCTCTTGAATTTCTGCGAAGGTCAAAAACAAGATCTATTTGGAAACTAGTTACTCCAACAGTCAAAAAAGTTTGTTGAAACAGCAAAAGAATACCTACCTACCCCATTCTTCCCTGGAATGATTCTCCAAGAAGCTGTTTGCCAAAGGACTTCGAAAACCGTGTGAACTCGGGGTTTGGGAGGGGATGCTGAAATCTGGTTGAAAGGTGGTACCTCTGCTCCCGTGACAGCGCTGCTGCCTTTTTGTATTGTTTTGTTTCTTCCTACGTTGTGAAAGAGAAAGGTCGGTCCTGGGGATGATTAAGGCATACCACACAGGGCTGTCATTCTTGAATCCCAGAACAAGTATGCTTCCGGGGTGTACAGGAGATTTCCAACCCAATCTCAGACTACATGGGTTCAGACTGCCATTTCCGAGAGAAAGATGGGGGCTTGATTTAAAGGTTTCTTCCAGAAAGACCCTTAGAGCGCAGAAGTTCCTCCGACGTCCTGGGGCCCGGTAGAGTGGAAATAGAGGTTTCTACTCCTGAGACGAAGGTGCCTCAGGAGATTGCTGTTGGGCAAGGCAGACCTTGCTGAATGCCTGCAGACCGCCTGGTGTGTAATCCAAAGGCTCCTCTGACGGCAGAGATAACGGATAATAGCAATAAGGGTGTTCCAGTATCTTGGGTGCTGACCATGTGACAGTTCTTTTTTTTTTTTTTCCTGTTAACAAAAATATCTGAGGCTGTGAATTCCTGACCCCATTGCTCCCTTGCTATGATTATTACATAGATTTATTTTATTTCATTTTATTTTTATCCCAGGTTGTTAAAGCACAGTGCAGCAGCAAATCCATCCCTCTGCGATTGACCTTTCATTTTAGGCCATCCAGCACTTACTAGTAAACTCATCAAATAATATAGAATTGTGCTAGAAAGGAAACATTTCATATTTTTAAATAAACATCTAGGTTATAGACTTAGTTTTCAGCTACTTTCTTATTTCAGCATCCAAGTTTATTAAATCTTTTGATTTGTTTCATGAACTACCTACAAATATCAGTTACATTGTAAATGAACAAAACGAACAGGAATATTGTTTAAGAACTTGGTAGAACCATTTTCCTTTGATAATTTAGGAGGCGATGGGTGTGCAGAGAGATCCACTGTGTTAGGGGAAGTCAGCAAGACTGAAATAAAAGAAACGGTTTACAAATTATAAACTATATTATCCACTTAGCAATTGAAAGATTTCTTTCCTGTGCTTTTCAATTTAGATTTTTAAACTAAATAGCCAAAGACCCCCTGAAAACGCTTTGTATGGATCAAGCTTGGCACATTATTTTCCATATCAATGGGGCAATTTATTTTATAAACACCCTGCACTCTAGTGAGCTTTGCAGGAATGCTTTATGCTTTGGGGAACTTGGATAGATGACTTTGAAATGGACTCATTTCTTTCTACCAAGCCCTGAACATTGTTTCCAAATAGGATGTTACCCTTGTTTTCCAGAACATCTAAATAGGAGGTAAATGGCGTCACATTGCATGCAGCCACGTTGGTGCTTGTCACTCAGGGCACCACTTTTCAGGAGCCCCGAGTCGTAATAAACTGTTCCCAGCTCAAGCCAGTGCAAACCCTGTGGGTGCCCACCTGCAGAAGTAGGAAATCAGAGATGCAGGTGTAACTTGTTGCCAAGTGACAGAAGATTGGCAGCAGCCGCCTGTGCCAATGAAGCAGTGGTGGGCATGGTGTGCCAGCCCTCCCTGTGCCTCATCCTGGCATGAGCAGTGAGAAGCAACTCCTGTCAGTGATAACTTCTGGAAGCCTCTGCTTCTCGCTTCTTCTATTCTCACTCTCCCAAATGGCTCTACACACACACACACACACACACACACACACACACACACACACACACACACACACACGAACAGCCTAAAACCAGTTTGATAAATACTTCTGTCTGCTTCCCATCCTCCCGGCCAGCTTGGTGGGGCTCCCTCCCAGCCTCTCAGCCGGATGCCATCCTAAAAACTATATTCTTGAGGATTTGGAGACTAACTGTACCATGCCCAAGTAACGCTAGAGAAAGTCCAGAATCCAAGGCAAGGATTAGTTTCCACTGTTGACTAATTTTGTTTTTTCAGCAACTCGGGAATTTCACTGTGCCATGGCTCAAAATGCCAAAAGACCGACTTAGAAAAGTGGCTAAGTTTTTATTCAACCTGTGGTTATAACCCTCAGAAAATTCAGGTCGACCCATTGCTAGAGGAAATTATGTGTGCATGTAGTGTATGAATATGTGCCTGCATATGTAAATGAGCATAGGTAAATTAGGAAGGTGTGTATATATGGAAATGACATGTTTAAGCTTTTGCACAAAAGCCTTGACCTTCAAATAAACCGAGTCCTAGACTTTAAACACCATAAACTTGAGCCCCTGACAGAGTAACCAGTACTTTCACTCCCTTACACACACCTTTGTGCTCATGAGAAATCTTTGGTGTAAAGAGGGCCCCTGTGGACAGAACCCCTTGTTCCGTTTTTTGAGGGCCGGCCCTGAGACATCTATTTATGGGTTTCTATGCTCAGAATTAGCCTCAAGCTTCGAACAAGGTGGGTAGGCTGAGGTTCTTGGGGACCGTGCAAGACTAGAAATGACCCCATGGGAGGTGCAGACTATCTGCCCTGGTGACAATCTCCTGGCCATGTTCAGAACAAGACTGTCGAAAGGCTGGTGAAGCCCTTGGAGCACAAGGACACATGGAGGTGTCTCCTGGGAACTCCCTGGGGCAAAGACTCCCGGGCTCTGCTGTACCCTCGGTGGGCTGACAGAATAGTTGAAGCCCTCCAGCGAACCAGCAGTTTCTCGGCAGGACTGTGGAGGGAGGAAAGGGCAATGTTGACAGGAGGAGGCGGCCACAAACAAAACTCAGGAGAGGGAAAGGAAGCTGCAAGTTGGAAAAGGCCTCCGAGGTCACCTCGGCCAACAGGAGGCGCAGATTACGGGCCAAGTGGGAGGAGAGCGAATCCGAGAGGGGCGGGCACGGAGGTTGTGACTCCATCCCGGGACCTGCAGCAGAAGCTGGAGGGCAGTGCGCTGGGGCCGAAGCCCCTAGGCGAGTCAGTGTGGACCCTGCGGCGGCGCGGGCCGCGATCGCCGTCTGCTGGCGGCCACCACCCTCTCTGTCCTTCCCGAGCCGCCTCGGGCTGTCACCTGTGTGTCCCAGGCGCCCCTCGCCCAGCTAAGGCTCTCGCAGCGTCCCTGGAGGGTTGGCCAGTTCAGTGTTTGAGTTCCAGCGTGCGCCTCTGACCCGGGACTCTAGTAGGGGCGTCTTTTCTCCTGGGTCGCCCCCAAGCCCTCTCAGCGGATCTCCTGGGGCCCAGCCCGGACTAACTTGGGGGAGTTCTTCGCAAACAGCGAAAGGAGCCCAATTTCAAAGCTGTGTGGTTTGTTTGTTGTTACTGATTTGTTCAAAAGGGGGAAAAGAAACAAAATCGAGATAAAGGGGGAAAGTCGGGGGTGGGGACAAAGGAAGAGAATCACTCGCAAATGAAGAACTTTGGGCGATCCCCGCGTTTTTATCAGCGGCCCTCAGATCCCTTCTCTCCCGAGCCGCTCTCAGCACGAAAGCAAAGACCCAAACGGCAGCGGCGTCTGAGTTTGGAGAGCCGCTGCAACCGCGCCTGTGGGAAAGGGGTAAATAAAGTCCTTGCGCGTCTAGGCTGCCAGGCTCCGGTTCCAGCCATCAGCGCGGCGACCAGCACACACAATTCGGAGCTGCACTGCGTGTGCATGCATGCCTCCTGGCTCTCTGGGTGGAAGCATTCGGAGAATCTCTGGGAGCTTCGAGTAGGGGCTCACCCTGTGAGCAGTGCTCACACATATAATTCAAATTTCACAGCTGACCTGCTCTGAAAACCTCAATCAGCTTCTAATTGAAGGGAAAACAAAATATTGCTTCCCTACAGCAGAGCTAACGATTTAATCATTATATCAGACATTATAGCTTTTAATTAGGCTAATGCTGATACTGTATGGAAAGAGATAATTCAACACAGTTCTTGATGAATTCTGTAATTGGGTTAACGGCGGAGCAGTCGGGGGAGAGACGTCAATATTCAAGCTGCGTCTGTAGCCACCAGGTTTATGAATGAAAGAGGGGAGGAAAGCCTGGAACCCAAGGGGGCATCGCGCCCTCTCTCCCCAGAGCTGCGGGTGCCAGGGGAAGAGGCGACCGAGATGCCAGCGGGGCTGGGCCGCCGCTGCGTGCCAGGCCTCGCGGGTTTGGAACCGAACGCCCACTTCTGCCGCGTGAAATTTCCTGACAAGAATTTCATCAGGC